CCCCAAAACCCCAAAACCCCAAAACCCCAAGTTCCTAGGATTTTTCAATAATTTTACAATAATATAAATTTATAAAATGGATAATCAAATTGACAAAAGTTATACCATCTAAAATTAAGGTTCTAGTAAAAAAAAATTTAGAAGGTCGCATGCAAATTTGAAACGTAATGTAACTTTTCTAGGTAATTATTATTTAAATTTTTCAATGATTAATTCAGAAGATTAAATGCTACTCAACGAAGAATTAATTGATCATAAGAATATGAATCAATCTTAAAGTTTCAAATAAACCTCTCATAACAGAAGCCTAATAGACAAACCTGATACATAATAGGACTTGAATGAAAAAATTTAGGATAAAGAACCAAATCTTGAGCATTCTGAAGAAAACAATGAAAAATAAATTGAAATGGCACCTATAACTGTTTAAAAACGAGTAGGGTCTTACAATGTGCTCAATCAAAGTTAAAATAGCAAAGATCACTATTCGATTAAGGGCCAAGACTTAGAAACTGCAAAAAATGACTAGCTCACTGCAAAGAATAATTTGAAAAATCAACAATAAGCTTCCTTTAGAAGTTTGAACAATCCTCATAGCCATTTCAATTCAACAAAGAATATAAATAAGCATGGAGGTGGACTATTTTCCAAAAATAACTCAATATAATCATTTGGGTCTCACATTGAAGAATTTAAGGCTCTTGAGGAATATACTTAAACAATTTTGGAATAGAAAGTAAAAGCAAATGAGCTATTTTAGCTAGGGAAATATGATAAAGCCTCTGACTTATATCAGCAAATCATTGACACTATGCCTTCCCTATAAAGTAGGTTCTAAAACGAGGATTTTATTCTCACAACAAATGTATTGAGCATATACAGAGAATCTCATATGAATCTGGCATTAAGCTAAATCAAAATGTGCTAGTATGAAAGTGCAATTGATATCTTGGGTTAAGTGCTTTAATATGAGCCTTAAAATGTAAAAGCTCTTTACCTAAGAGCAAAGGCTAATCATGCAATTAGAGAATATGAATAAGCTTTGGAGGATTTCAAAACAGCCAAGTCACTTAGGCCATAAGATGCATCCTTGTTTGATCAATATATTCAAGAGCTAGAAATAACGATTAACAATATGCTAAAGTAGGATGACCCAATGATACCTAAGAGTTATCTCAGAACTAAATCAGGTAAAAACACTTCATTACCCCTTTAATCCTTAATTTTTAGTCCACATCAACCCTCAAAGCAAATAAATAGTTGTGAAGGAAAAAAGAGGTGGTGTGATGCAAGATGGAGATATATAAAAGAGTATCGATGAGATTTTAAACTTAAAGAAACCTCGTAGTTTGTTTAGTCTCATCAGGATGATATTTACAGTGGCTAAGGATTTCACACTATCATTGAATGCGTTCATTTTAGCCTTAATTGGAGTAGCCTTGTATCATTACCTTATTAAAAGAAAGCTATTTGTAATAATGACATTTAGGCTTCTAGATAGAATCGCTTGATAATAATTTTAAATGAAATCAATTTAATTGAGGAATGGTAGGTCCTCAGATATTGCTAACAATAAACTTATATTCATTTAGATATTACTCTTTCTCAATTCACTCTCTATTCATAGTGATGGGGTTTTGGGGTTTTGGGG